CAACACATATAAACAGATTATGAACAGTAAATACAATTTTTTAGTGGCATTGCCTCTTTGTTGCTACACTGAGCTGTCATTTCTTCTATTAGCATTGGCCTCGTAGGCTGCTATGACATTAGAAAACACTAGTGATGGTTCTGCCACTAGTTGTGAATGATAGCCTTGTGTCTGTTCACATATTAATGTATGGAATGACATAAAAAACTGCTTGTATAATGGAATGGAGGGCGATTGGTCTCATTGGTCAAATGGTGTGCATTCTTTGAATCCTAAGAAATCAGTTAAAATATGACTGAAAGCTCTCATGACAGTTGAAATAAGTACCAAATCCAGTTAGGATGTGATGCATCAAGTTAAAAAAAAAAAAAAAAAAAAAAAAAACTGCTTTTACCTTCTCTGACTGAAAAAGAAGAAGAAAAAAAAAAAAAAATTCTTCCTTCAGGTCTCCTATCCTTCCCCTCTCAGACACTGCAGCTCACAGTGGATGGTTTTTTAGCAACTGAGGTAGTCCTGTTAATCCAGAAAGCAGAAAGATGACTTATGTGGCCAGATGCTCACTGACAAGTACAGGCCTGTGACTCTGCAGTGACAATGTTGATAGCTACACCCCCTGCAATTAGTTTCATCCACTGTAGTGCCAGCAACCATGGCCTATATGAGAGTGGCAACACTATTCTAGACCTTTGCCATACATCACATAAAGCTGCATTGGATGGACTTAACTGGCAGGCTCGATAAGTATTTATGGGACTTTGCATATGGATTAAGAAAAACAAGTACTTATAATGAAGTGCTGCAGCACATTTTAATGCAAGACCAAAGAAGCAGTGTTGGTGCACACAAAATGTTTCAACAGTACTTTTTGATAACAAGCAGCCTAGGTAGCCCCCTGCCTTTTGGATGTATTTTGGGAGATTGATATTATTAGGCTTTCTATCCCTAAATCAGTCCAGCAATTTTCCTTAGCTAAAAAGGAAACACAATCTTTCTCAAAACATGGTCTCCTGGCCTTTTTGTTCCTGGTGGTACTACTGAAACACACATATAATGCGGTCAGTAATTATAAGTAAAGCTACAGACAGGTATTTTCTCATGGAATGATTATAGGTGTATTTCGGTCTCTTCTTCTAGCAGTTATTTATTAAAATAATCAAATTTATTGGTTGCTACAAAATGACCTGAAAGAAGACAATAGGACTGTTTGTATTCACTGTAAAATTCTCTTACGGGAGTCCTTTGAGGTTCACAGTAAATCTTAACCAAATAATCATACACGCAGAGGTTTTGACATGTGTCCCTCAAACTCCCAAGAAAAAGATTTTACAGTGAGTACAAATAACCTATTTTCTAGCTCGTCCATTGGGAGACACAGAAGACTTAAGCCTAGTACACACTAAGTTTTTTTTTCCCCCATTCAACCCAGCAGACTGAAAAAACCCAAAATGAAACAAAAAAAACACAGATTGCTGTACTGAACAAGCATTGTTAGTGTAGCAATCTCTCCCGATGTGCCTTTGCGTTCTGACAGGGGGACTCCCCATTAACCCCTCACCAGAACACACTAATCCACACTTGCTGATCAGATGCTGGTTTTCCAGCATGTTCCTTCAACAAAAGCTGGCCCATAGACCAGCTTCTGTGGGAAGGACAGCTGTATACATGATCAGAATGTTGGCCAGCTCCTGCTATATTTGTGTATACCCAGATTTAAAGCCGATATCCAGGCAACTATAACACTATCTCTTGCAATGAGGCTGTGCACACACACTGCAAGGGTTAATTGCTTGTTTAGGTCTAGGGCAGGGGACTCCAAACTTTCTAAACAAAGGCCCTATTGTCCTTCAGATTTTAGGGGGGCCGGATTGTGGCAAGAAGGAGTGGAAATTTTCCTGGCATCAGTGGGAGGAAACACTACCACATTTGGTATTATGGGGAACAATTGTGCCCCATCATTGGTATCATTGGGAGGAATAGTGCCCCACTGTTGTTGTCTGTGGGTGAAATGCTGCCCCATTGCTGTCAGTTGGCAGATTAGAGTCTTGTATCAGTGGGGGTAATAGTGCCCCAAGGGATGGATAAAGGCAAGCATATGGCCCCAGTTTGGTCTAGGGCAGGCCTCAAAATATGCACTTACCTGCTCGCATTTGGCAAGTGGAAATAACATGGGGGGGGGGGGGGGGGTGGGAGCGGCGAGTGTTATTGTTGGCTAGTCCTTTCCCATTACAGTCTTTTCCTGCACCTTCTCTCACTTCCTTTTGCCCCAGTGCTTGTGTCCTGTAGCTCGTCTAGCTGTCTGTATTCAACAGCCGCTCCAGCGTCAGATATTGCTATGGTGATGTCGGGCGCATGCGCGCACAACCTCCTCTCTGCTCCTGAGGATGGAAGACAGACCGACTGGGGGCCCAGAGAACAGGGTCGGGTAGGAGGCGCAGGCAGCCAGAGACCGCTCCATCTCATCACATAGAACCGCTGGATGGAGCAGAGCACCTCCTGTCCTCACCCAGAGCGTGGCCGAACCCTACCCGCTGCTGGCCATCACTGCACATGAACATCACTGACAGAACATCCTGCTGGCATGGAAGGTACTGTACCAAGCATCACACACAAGTCCTGGGACAAGGGGGTGCAGGAGGGACTACAGACAGGTACAGGGTTAGGGGTCTCTCACACCCGCTCTTTCTGACCCCCTTCACTCTCTCTCACACCCTCCCCTTCCCTCTCAGACCCCCCTCCCTCACAAACCCCCTCTCTCTCACACACCCCCTCTCTTTTGCCTCTTTGAGGTTGAAGTGCCTGGGTTTCAGTTAAGGGTGGAGGTGTGCATGGCCACGTCCACCCTTAACTGAAAATTCAGGAACCTCAATGTCTCCACCACCATGCAATAGTTCATCATTCCTCCTTCACTGAAGCATTCAGCATGTATGATAGTGAAGGTGCTGAGGTTCCCTGGATTCTCAGTTAAGGCTGGAGGTGTGCATGCTTCAGTGGAGGAGGAATGAAGTGGGACTACTGTATGGTGGTGGAGACACCAAGGTTCCCTGGATAGTAGTGCCTTAACTTTGATACAAACACTGCGGTGTTATTCTTTCCACTGAAACCAGTGGGAGGAATTATACCGTCATTGGTATCAGTAAAAGGGAAAATGGCCCATACTTGTTGTCAGTGGGAGGAACAGTGCCCCTCATTGGTGTCAGTGGGAGGAACAGTGCCCCTCATTGGTGTCAGTGGGAGGAACATGCCCCATCATTGGTGTCATTGGAAGCAATAGTGCCCCATCATTGCTGCCAGTGGGAGGAACAATGCCCCATCATTGCTGCCAGTGGTGGGCACAGTGTCCCATCATTGGTGTCCGTGGGGGGGGGGGGGGGGGGGACGACAGTGCCCCATGGACACCAATGATGTAAGCCACTGGCAGATCCTTAGTGGGAGGAGACTACTGTTTAAAAAGTGATTGAAAAGGTTTTTTTTTTTTTAATTATTAAAAACAAACAATGTTATACTTGCTTACAAAACCATTGCACAGAGCAACGCCAATCCTCCTCTTCTTGGGTCCCCTGCCGGCACTTGCAATGGGGCACCCATGCATGCTCACACCCAAGCCCTGCTCTATGTGTCCACCCTGGCCCTGCACCAGCTCCCTCGTCACTGGCTCTGATGGCTCCTGCTGCTATGCCTGAGCCAAATGAGGAGCGAAACAGAGACTTGGCTCCCGTTCACAATGTTGGATTGGGCTCAGGTATGTATTTAGGGGACTGCGGGGGAAACTGTATGCAGAAGACGTTTTTACCTTACAGTATAGAATGCAGTAAGGTAAAAAAAAAAAAAAAAAAAAAAAGGAAGAAGAAAAACTTCTGCCCCTACAAAGACTTTAATAAAATCCTTTCCAAAACAGAAACAGATTTAGTAAGCATTTTTGAGGGTGTAAAATACACACAAGGTCATTTCCAATCCCTATTGAGAAATGCTGATAAAAAGTAGGGGCACTGAAAAAGTCTTTGCAGCTGTAGGGGCTCTCAAAGTCCTGAGTCTGGAGACAATCCTTCAGATGGGAGCATAACTGGAGCATCTTCTGTAAAAACCAGCTAAAACCTGAATGAATTTGGCCACGGAGTCTTGCTTGCTTGCATTAGAGGCCCTAGCCAACAAGGCAAGGAACTCGGTCTTATCTTGCGGAGCCAAGGAGGACCCCGATGATGAGAAGTCCCTGATGCGGAGGACCCTATACTTATACAGTAACAGGGTTCCAGATATTAGTACCTTCTGAAGTCACAGAACAAAATTTTCCTGTTAGGGGAATGTGAGATCAGTCACCCATTACAGCGAAACCACTTAGAAACATGTACTTTGCATAGCAGTAAGGCAACTAGGCTCAGGGAATAAGGCATGGCCTCATTTACCCATGGAATCAATGGCTCTGGACCTACAAAGTGCTGAGGCTAAACCGGTTACCAAAACTGGGTCTCAAGAAGCCCAGTGCTCAAAAGTAATTTCCAGGTTAGCCCAACAATGTTCAGTGCAGTGGGTCTAGGCACAGCACTCTAAAGGCCAAGCTGAGGACAGGCCTCGATGGATAGCTGTAATTGTAGATACCAGCTCTGACAACAAAAACGTTCATCTACCTAGGACACTAGCAAAAACTGAGGCATGCTGGACATAGGAGGAGCTACTGTATATGCTGGGCTACAGTTTTTCTGTTTGAAAGAGTCCAGTCCTCCTGTATGTGGCAGTATAACCCAAAGGTTAAGACTTCCTGTGTCCCTCAGTGGAGAAAAAAAAACACAAAACAACTACTGAAAAATGAGGTTGGTGACATTGGCATGTAAATACATACAGGTGCTTTCACTTCTCTCTGGATCTTCACTCCATGCTGAGAACTCCAATGAAATTTCATGTGAAATCTCCTGCAAAGCTCGCTCAACATCCTCCACAGCAGCAGACTGGTTCAGGCAACTTGCATCTGTTGTCCCTGAAGTTTGAGACTCTTCATGAGACTGGAATACAGAACTAAGTGATCCTCCTCTAGTTACCCGTGCCTGAAAGAACAGGGTAACAAGAGTACCACATATGACCAATGAAGTCAAATAAACTTAGCCCATTTGAATTGCGATTATTCTCACCATTGCTTTCTTGCTGCGGAAACTGGCAATGTTATATAAAGTGCAGTAGCTAATAAGGCAATCACCGGGGTAGAGTGGAGCAATCTCATTTGGTGTGAGCAGAGCCTCCATAGTCTCTGGCATATACCAGTCTATTGTAATGTCACTCAGAGCAGGCTCCAGTGCTTTCTTCAATGCATTAATCAGCTAGATGGGCAAGAAAATGATCAACTGGTAAACATTATGTCAAATCATATGCAATGTGAAATCTACATTGGGGTTCAAAATGGTGAGTAATCAGATTCAATTATTCTTCAAGTAGGTTTGTAGGGCAACTTACATGTGCATTTATAATGGAGATATATACATGGGCAACTTTTTTTTTTTTTTTTTTTTTTTTTTTTTTTTTTATAGAGTGAAGCGTTTTTACATCAGTCAAGTATTTATTGTGGTCTGTGCTTACTAGGTGGAATTCACTTCTCAATTTGTCCTTGTTACTATTGTTGCCACGATAGAAAGTGCAGTGAACAGCAGTATTTTAGAGCTGTCACCAGAACAAGAGTTGAGGGGAAATCTTCCAATGTGGACACCTGTTCCAGTGACAACAGTCTAAAGCTGACCGGATTCTCTCATCCACACAGTCGATGTGGATACAGGAATCCCCCTCGCTGTGTCATTGTGTCCCCCGCCATCAGAATACATTGTTCGGCGCTACAATCTATTGGCTGCATGCGTTGATGGAACAAGACTTTACCATTAAGCTAGTTCATAAAGAAGTCAATCAAAATCGGGTACAGCCATACGTGGATCAAAATTCAGACAGTTCCTGCTGAACCAGCCACATTTCAATCCATGTATGGCGAGCTTTTGCAGACAATTCCCCTCACAAGGGATATTAACTCCCTTTCTAAAAATCTTGCATACGTAAAAGGGATATTTCCCCAACAGGACACAGAGCAAAAATGAATCGATCCTTGCGACACTGACTGTGTCAAGAAAATCCAGATGGTGCTTGGCTTGTGGTGGTAGTATGCAAATCCAAGACAGAAAAAGTCAGCACTCCAGAAATCAGGAAAAATAGGATTTTGCATTTGCCATACATCCTTTTCTTGGATGGGTTATACTGCCACCTACATGATCTTGACAAACTAAAAAAAAAATTACAGGCAAGATCAGGGTAACCCTTCCTACTACCAGCATGCGTCTGTTTTGTAGGAAAGTACTACCAAGAGCATGATCCTAAAAACACAGAAGGATTGGACCTGTGTCCCCCAATGGACTTCAAGAAAAGGATTTGAAATGAGTACAAAACTTCTAATTTCCTTCTTGTCCATTGAGGGATACAAAAGAGTCATTAGCTATCAAGACCTCCAAAAGAAGTCCAACTGACAACTAGACAAAAACACTAAACAAAACGCTAACAGGCCCCTTAACCAGACCTGGGGACTGCCTGCAGCTTAAAGACCCACCCCAAAAGGACCATACAGCTAAAGCTAGCATTATATATGGCCAGAACATCCACCTTGTAGATTGCGGAAAATGTTTAAAAACGAAAGACTTTGGCAGCCTTGCAAATCTGAGAAACCGTATTCTGATGCTAAAGCGCCCAAGAGGCACTCACAGGTATAGTAGAGTGTGTATGGACAAGAAATAGTGGAAAACAATCCATATGATCATAAGCTTGGATAATGGCCTGTCTGAGCTACTGAGAAATGGTAGATTGAGAAGCCAGTAAGTTTGAAGGAACCCGTGGCTCAGGCCCAAAACATATGAGGGGCGGGGGGGGGGAAATACATATGACCTAGCTGAAGTGAAAGGCTGAAACTACCTTATGTAGTAAGGAAGTCCTGGGTCTCAACAGATCCTTGTACAAGTCCAGAAAGGGTTCTTTACAGGATGAGCCCACCAGCTCAGACACTCGCCTCACAAAAGGTAAGGCTGCAAAGAACACATGGTTAACATGTATTTATGGGTAAAGAATATATGGGTAACAGAAGAGAGGAATATCATTGATGGGTTCAAAGATCATGGTTTGTGAGAACTGAATTTGGTTCTCTCAGCACTTCAAAGTCACTAAATAGCAAAACATGGAGAGCCACATGGGATATGCCCTGAACAAAGGCCATAATAAAAGGAATGGGAAGCCAGTGGTCTCTAGAACAAGGCAGCAAGAGCAGAGACCTGCCTCTTATGAGGGATAAGGATCAAATACTGGTCCAAACCCAGCTGTAGAAAGGAAGAGGATTAGTCGCACTGAGAACTTCTTGGGGGTGAAAGCCTTGTGCCTCACACCAAGGGAAGTAGGTCTTCCACTTACGGTGAGAGACCCTGCAAGAAGTAGACTTTCTAGCTTGCCAATAAGGGATTCAGAGATGCCCCTGTCCCTCAGAACCTGGGTGCTGTTAAAGCCAAAGACCATGAAGCAGGAAAACTGGAAAACTGGTAAACTGGACCCTGAGAAAGAAGATCCAGACAATTATGAAAAATCCTATGGAATGTTCATCAGAAGTCTCAATGGGTGCTATGTCCTCGTGGTCCATACCATAACTACAAACTTGAATGCCTTTCATCTCAACTCTGAGGCAGATTAGGATGGAGTCTCAAGGGAGTAAAGGATGTAATGATCCCATGGGGCCACCAGAACATCCACTGCTTCTGCTACAGGATCCCTACACTGAAGACAAACCTGTCCAGTTTATTGCTGAACCTGCAGGCCAACATCTGGTATGCCCCACTTGCGATACATACCTTGGAACACCTCTGGGTGTAAGGGCCACTCCCTTGGGTCTAGGTGTTGCTGCCTAAGGAAGCCTGCCTGTCAATTGTCCATGGCATGACTGTAATGTGAAGTTAAGAGCCAAAACGGTCTCTTAGTTTGGGAGTGATGACAAAAGACCAAAGACTCCTCAGTGGTAGGTTTGCCAGATAAAGGACTAGAGAGACTTGAGATCAGACAGAGTCTCTTTGGCTGAAGGCTCAGAGGCCACAGGCAGATCGAATGCAGAATCTGCAGGGCAAGGCGCAGCAGCATTCTTGCGGCATCTGTGTTCAGTGTCAGCAAATGGCTGTCCTATTGGGCTTACAAAGCCATACATGCAGAGGAGACAGCAAAACAAAGCATGATGGACCTAGGAAAAAAAACTTCAGGGAGCAGAGGGCAAGATGATTCCAGGCTGCAGATGTTAGCTGGCACTTGAGTCGTTCATGGAATGAGAACTTTAGACACCTGGTACATGGGAACTGTCCTTTTCGCATCTAGAATTAGACACATAGCAAACCCATGGCAGCAAGTCAGTGTAGCTCAGGGAACAAGATAAGACTTCAGGTACTCACATAATCCAACTGCTAGTAACAGGTGTAGGGTCAGATGGCCAGAAGTCTCTGTAGATGGGCAGCAGAAACTGACTGATAAGAAGAGTTCCATGTGGCTCTCTACAAAACAGGAGCAGCACCATGAAGATGCTTCCTCAATGCTGAATAGTAGAAAAAAAGCACATGTACACGTGACACTCCACTCAGTGGATGGCGTCCGAACTTGATCCATCGACATTAACCCTTTCCGCAGTGAAGCCAGCACAGTGTGCTCAACAAGGTAGCTCTAGGCGTGATGTCCAATGGGCTTGTTCACAGAGTAAGTCTTCAGAGACAGGACAAGTGCAGAGGCAAAGGAAATAACATTGGACCTGAAAAGTACCTTCTAAATTTATTAGAGCAGTGTCTCGAAAAACATCTAATTTGAAACCCAAATGCCTAAAAGGTCACTTCCAGTCTAGTCCCACAACATCCAGTCCAGTGGGGTCTGGGTACATCACTGCAAAGGCTGATCTGGATAGCTGCCATTGTAGAGCCCAACTCAAGCAGCAATATAGCAAAAGACACTTGATTAAAAGAGAAAAAAAATGCTAGCAAAAAATATTCTAAGTACACTAACAAAAAAAAAAAAAAAAAAAGGAGGCATGCTGGCAAAAGGAGGGGCTATCCTCATCTGGCCTACAATTTTTTATTATTTTTTTTGTCTGTGCCAGACGTTCATGTAGCCAGCAGTATAACCTGAAAGCTAAAGTGAATAGCTTCTTGTGTTCCTCAATGGAAACTTACAGTCATTCCATAGAGACCAATATTTAAGGGACATGAGGAATCTGATTCTCAAGGCAGTCCTCGAATGCTGATCTCTATGGATTGACAGTAGATTTTATTTTTCTCAGCTGGTGGCTATTATTTTTCCTTAGGAGAGAAAAAAAAAAAAAAAAAAAAAAAAAACTTAAAAAATAGGAATTTTAATCCTAACTTACTCCAAAAAGTAAATAAATGTTTCAGCTATGCTAAACACTTCATAAAGCACATATATTTAGGCAGCAAGTGTGGTGAAGTGCACTTTTATAGTCTACTCTATTCCTGCATGCATCCATACCATTTGTCTTTAACCATAGTGAGGGCGAACAGGAAAAATGGACAAGCTTATTTTCATTCATAACAGCACTGAGGTTCCACAGCTTTCCACAACCCAGCCTTTACAATTGCCTTTTGTAAAAGGACAGAATGAATACAGATACATTATGTACAGTAGTTTTTAGTTATGTACATATGCCTTTCCAAAATACTAACTCTCTCTTATGACCTCCTGTGCAGCATATCAGGTGCGGTTTACTATTCAGCCTCAATCTGAAGGAGATGCAATGCTCATGACAGAAGATTCCGATTAAATCAACAAGGCAAAATGTATAGCTCTGCTAGGTAAAAGCAAGATAAGCAAGTAGTGGTGTAAGGGAAAATAATCTTTCCTGGGCCAAGTTTTCACAGCAAATAAGTATAGCTGCATGCCAGGTAACCTAGTAATCGGTCACTAAAATATACATTAACTTTAGTTTTATTGACTATCAGTAACAATTATCTACCGTAAATGTGTTCATGAAAATCGGTTTTATTAGACTTACCTTTGGCTGGAGTCTTTCACCCTCACTGACCAGCTCCACTGTTCCCCTTGTTATTCTGCAAACTTTCTCAAGAAATCTGTGGCATATGCTTGAACCAAGGCCAAAACCAAATACCCTGCATACATGAAAAATATTAGTATATTGTACCAGAAACACTATGGACCAGCAAAGCAACAAAACAAAGATTCAGTAATACTTTGATGCCATGATGCATAATCATACCATAGCCACAAAAACAAAATATGAGGTTTTGATTGGAATTGTCTGCTGGTAAATAGCTGGTAATTGGGGCTGCCCAACTGCCCTGAGCCACTGTAGTTCCCAAAATGGAAACCAACATAAAAGTCAAACAGAGTTCGCCTTCTTCAATGCAAGGAACACTATTGTCAGTGGCCACAGTTTAGAGCACATATTCAGAAACAGAATTGATTTCACTGGTCTATATGATGCATTTTCCTTTTTAACCACAACAATCCATGCAGAATATAAAATTGGTTTAAAACACAATGGATGTTATTTTACATATACTGCATAACTGGAGCAGCTAAGAACACTTTTCACCAATTTCCCACCAGGCCACAAAGTAGCCATTCATTTTAGCACCTCTGCAATTTATCAGATTTCTTTCTGAGAAGACAAAGTCATTGCCTCTACATGAAAAATATACTGTATTCCATCACGGTTAGGCATATTTTGTAACAAAAGTGAAGGAAAAAATGTTGATAAAAAGGAATCACACTGAATAAAGAAAGCCCAATAGCTCACCATCCTCTAAAAGGCCAGTTGAACCAAGAAAGGAACAATTTTGTTTGTTAACAGTGCATATTGAAGCGCACAGTGCTTTTATTTATTAGTTTGGTCATGACCCAGATTCACTGATAAAAATAGGAAACTGCATTCTCTGCACCTGTTTTGTAGGCAAAAATCAAAGCGCACAACTAGTACAAGTAAGTCTTGAGTAACATACATTTTTTGCAAGAAATGTATAGTCTAATTGAATGTTCTCACCGTGTAGTTCTTGTGTGTCTTCTAATCAGCTCAAGAATCCTGCTCGTATTAATAAAATCAGTATCCGTGATCATAAAGAGTTGTCGGGGATAGCCTCGATGCACAGGAAGTTCCATGATCCGACCCAACACAGAAAACAGATTGCTGGTTGTCCCACACAACCTATTACTTTGGATGAAATCACAAGCCAACTCCAACGCGTCCTATCAAGAACACAACATTCAGAATCCTAAATGCTGATTCCAATTTTGTAGAGCAGTAGGGCGTGGACCTAATTATACAGCTTCTTTTCAATTATTGTCACCAAAGAACATCTAATGTTGAATTCACATTAATGTCAGACTGGAATGAAGCCATATGTCAATCAAATGCCCATAGCCCAATGCTGTTTAATTGGTGTAGGTATTATGGTTGGCAGGCAGTTGGAAATCGTTCAGACATCAGCTTAAAGACCTGATGATATAAAGCAATCTGCTGCCAGCAAATCACACAGGGATGTTGGGTGCAGGAAATGGATTATGCCACTTACACTAACTATTCTATGTGCATCCACTTGCTGCATGTAATGGGCCACATTTTTCAGACCAATAGAACAGTTCAATAGAGAGGGCCACTGGGACAGGGACAAAATGATAACATCTAGGGATAAACAAAAAAAAGAAGGATGGAGGAAAAAAAAAAACAAAAAAAAAGAACAAAAAACAGACGAACAGAGATAAAAGTGCAGGATAATGGAAACTAGAAAGTTGGAGCAAGGCTTATCCAACAATCTTTTTTTTTTCCTTTTAAAGTAGCACTCAGAGTACCCAAAATCCCTTAAACTCCTCCCTCCTTCCTTCACTCACATTACTGCATTGCCTGCTTGCTGGAAATAGGGCCCTGCTGTCACCTGTGCAACATGCTATGTTCAGCAAAATTCGAGCTGGCAAACTCCTCACTGCCAATAGAAGCGATTCCTGCAACAGAAGAAATAAAGACAAGGCAGCTCAGGAAAAAAGTGGGAAGTTGTCCGATTACACCTGGGAATAACACAATATTAAAGTAGATTATGCTGTATGACAACATAAATGCAGGGGGAGCAGCATAGAACTGCAAAACTGCATCCTAATTTAATAAGGCAGTGCCAGGATCGGCATGGAGAAATGTACAGTTAGCAAATCAAACAAGATCAAAAGACAGATAAATTCTATTTGGTGGTTATGGGAATGCTCTATATATTACCAAATACAGTTAGAAGGTATATTTTATGTCCATGAATTGTTACACTTTCTTAGAACCATTGCTTCTAATTTAAAAACAAGCAAAAAAAAAAAAAAAAAAAAAAAACCCACAGTCTAATAATGATAAATTAGGTTGCACTGCAAAACAAAAATTTCATTTCAAATCCATGCATTATATTTTTAAGATTAATAGATTTTCTTACTGAAAAATTGCCATTGCCAACTGCATTTCCCTATGCAGAACTCAGATTGTTCCTACGGTTGTACTTCTTTCTGTTACAAAGCACTTGTTTGAATATGCCAACAGTCAAAGTTTTGCAGTTTTGTACTTTTCTCACATTGTCAAAACTTCAATAAAGACTGGAAACAAAAAATAACTCCATTGCCACATATGATATATGTGCAGAAATGAGGACATTTTATGGACAAATAGCCCAAGGTACATACCAACCCCCTCTACATAATTTTTTTTTTTAATTTATATTTATGGTGAACATACGTCAAAAGAATTCATGCAAAAATGACTGCATGAAAATAATAATAATATGGGATACAAACCGGACACTAAAACCAGGGAAAGTATGGGTAAAAACACAGCAATGAACTGTTAAATTTACACTTTAGTAGTTATTCAGGTGGTTCCTGAAAGCTGTGCGGTTGGAAATAAGGATTTTTTTGTACTTGCCCTAAAATGCTTTTTCTTTAAATCCATTGAATGACACAGGATAGTAGTAATTCTTGGAAATGTGGATTATACTGCCACCCACAGGAGGTTTGGCACTGGCAAACAAAAAATAAAAAAAAGCCAGTCCCTGTATAAACCCACCTCCAACCGTCGTCCCTGTATAAACCCACCTCCAACCGTCATGCCTTGGTTTTGTCAGCATTACATAAGGCCTACAGAGGGCCAGGAAGGTACAAGATTTATTAGGGATGGATACTTTCATACGACTTGGAAGGTGGCATACCTACATGAAGGACCAGCTCTGTTTAAGTGGGGAACATCATATGCAGGAATCTGAACACGGTTTGTCAAACTAAACAGATATTGTGAGAGAAGATGCATCCAGTAATAGAAAGCTGGAAGGGTTAATGAAGGAACAGTCCCCACTTTAACTAAACTCTGGCAAAGATGTATGGATTTCTAGGAGGAAATACCATATGTACATACAGTGGGGGAAATAATTATTTGATACCCTGCATATTTTGTAAGTTTGCCCAGTTACAAAGAAATAAAAAAACAGTATAGGAATTTTTTTTATCATAGTTGTATTAAAAAAATGATGGAGACAGAATATCAACCAAAAATCCAGGGAAAAAATAAATAAATAAATTGCAGGATACAAAATATTATAAATCGAGTTGCAATTCAGTGAGTAAAATAAGTATTTGATCCCCTACCACCCAACAATAATTCTGGCTCCCACAGACTGGCTATGTGCTCATGTGGTACACAGATTAGTCCTGTTAATTTAGGAAGGTGCTCCTAATGACAACTTATGTGTAGAAAAGACATCTGTCCATAGAATCTCGCTCTCTTTCTTGGGCACCACCATGAGCCAAAGAGCTGTCAAAGGACATCAGGGACAAGATTGTAGACCTGCACAAGGCTGGAATGGGCTACAAGACCATCAGCAAGAAGCTTGGTGAGAAGGAGACAGCTGTCAGAGCGATTATTCGCAAATGGAAGAAATACAAAATAACCACCAAATCGCCCTCGGTCTGGAGCTCCATGCAAGATTTAGCCTTATGGGGATAAGGATGATCATGATAAAAGTTAAGAAAGGACCAGCCCAGAATTATAGGAGGAGCTTGTGAATGATCTCAAGGCAGTTGGGACCACAGTCACCAAACAAACCATTGGTAACACAATACACCATGGATTGAAATCCTGCAGCCCTCGCAAGGTCCCCCTCCTCAAGGCACAGGCCCATCTGAAGTTTGGTAATGAACATCTAAATGATTCAGAGAAGGATTGGGAGAAAGTGCTGTGGTCAAATGAGACCAAATTTTAGCATTTTGGCATTAACTCGGCTTGCCGTGTTTGGAGGAAGAAAAATGATGACCCCCAAGAACACCATCCCTACAGTCAAGCACAGATGTGGAAACATTATGCTTTGAGGCGGTTTCTCTGCTAAAGGTACAGCTGACTTTGCTGCATTGAGGGCCAATACACAGGGCCATGTATTGTAAAATCTTGGATGAGAACCTTCTTCCCTCAGCCAGAACACTGAAGATGGGTTGTGGATGGATCTTCCAGCATGACAATAACCCACAACATACCACCAAGGCAACACTGGAGTGGCTCAAGAAGAAGCACATTAAGGTCATGGAATAGCCTAGCCAGTCTCCAGACCTTAATCCTATAAAAAAAAATATATGGAGGGAGCTGAAACTTTGAGTTGCCAAGCAACAGTCAAGGAACCTTAGAGATTTAGAGAAGATCTATAAAGAGTGAACCAAAATCCCTCCTGAGATGTGCGCAAACCTGGTAACCAACTACAAGAAATGTTTTGCCTCTATGCATGGCAACAAGGGTTTCTCCAACAAGTACTAAGTCATGTTTTGCTTTGGGATCAAATACTTATTTTACTCACTGAACTGCAACTCAATTTATAACATTTGCATTATGTGTTTTTTTTACAGATTTTTGATAGATATTCTGTCTCTATCATTCAAAATACATCTATTATAAAAATTATAGACCCTTCATTACTTTGTAAGTGGGAAAACTTACCAAATCTGTGAAAAGAGAAAAAAAAATCCTGGGGTATGCCCAATATCATGTGTGATGAAACCAAATAAGATGAATGAAAATGTGTCTGAATGGATGTAAAGTGAACTGCTGCTACTACCTTCCTGAATACCAGAATGAAGAGCTGCAAGACATAGAAAAGTGTGCTGTTCGCTTGAAAATAAGTCAAAAGAAAAAAAATGTGCAAACTGGAATTCTTAGGTTATCAAATAATGTGTATATTTTAATACAAAAATCTACAAAATATATACAATTAAATAAAATGATTTACAAAACACACACACACACGTACGTAGATAAAGTGCTGGGTGCTGAATTAATCTTCCAAAAAAGTGCTGCTGTGCTCAAAAGGTGCTCCTCAGGAAAAAACAGACAAGCCTCTTATCGAACCATACTGAACTCACGCTCACACCAGGAACCAGTTTACCCACTTCAAACTACTCTCCGCAGTAATATATGGAAGGGTTTAGACGAGAAACTTCATAGTGCAGCCCCGTTAAAAAGTAGAAGTTTATTGTAGCTAAAATAATGCTGAATAAATTCGAGACCTTTATCAATATACATATATTTGTTAGGAAACTGAAGGTTAAAAAAAACAGTATTTCCTTTAAAATCATGTTTCTGTATCACAGGTAGAGGATGTGGTCCACAATCGGCTTAGGAACGCATCCTTATTTAACCCCTCAGGGCAGAATAATACCAATATTATGGTTTTTAAGAATGGATAATAGGTAATACAAGATTTAGAACGTGCTAAATTCAAGAAAAGGTCCCATTTGTCTTTGCAAGAGGGTGTACAATGCCTCAGTGATCGTAAAGATTTGGTCATTCGAGCTTCCGACAAGGGGGGAGGAATCGTCCTTTTTAAGAAGCAGGATTACCTTGATGAAATGAACGATCTCTTGTCCGACACAAACACATATGAAATTTTAAGAAAAGATCCCACTTGTACTTATATATAAAAAAAATAAATAATAATAATACAAAATTTTACAGGGAGGACTTAAAGATGGCATTATAGCTAAAAAAAAGAACCAATATTTATTGCCATTGGCTCCTAGAATTCCCATTTTATATTACCTCCCTAAGGTTCATAAAAAAAAGCATTCATATGCCCCCTGGAAGACCTACAGTGAAGTGAGTTACTTCACGTATAGGCAAATATACGGATTTCTTTTTGCAACCATTCATTAATAAAACTCCTGCGTTTTTGAAAGACACTGAGGTGGTTACATTTGCGTGTAAAGTACTTCGGGGTTCTTTTTCCTTTAAATATGGTGACTGCGGATGTCGCACGAATGATCTCCAATCCCAGAGAATGCCATTTTTGGGGAAAAGCGCCAGGCAGAGTCTGTGATGTCACTACGCACCAGCCGATGGACTGACACTGCGGCTGACTTGTTTTGTTCCACTGATCTCTTTGTACTCAACTGAATGGAAGTGCATTATTTTAGCTACAATAAACTACTTTTTAATGGGGCTGCACAATAAAGTTTCTCTCGTCTAAACTCTTCCATATATTACTGCGGAGAGTGGTTTGAATTGGGTAAACCGGTTCCTGGTGTGAGCATGCAGTTATCCATCCCCCTGGACTTGGCAGTGAGAGTGTCAGTGTGGCGTTTGGACACTATCTGCCCATTTGATCTCTATAGCTTGAGATCAACTTGGTTTGGTAAAAGGCTTGTCTGTTTTTTCCTGAGGAGCACAGCAGCATTAATTCAGCGCGCAGCACTTTTTTTTCACATTAGATTGGGACACACACACTACTTAATGGTATATATTTAGTAAATTTTTGTATTATTATATACACATTTGATAACATAAGAATTTCAGTTTGCACATATATTCTTTCTTATGATTTATTTTCAAGTGAACAGAGCACTTTTAGAGGTGTTGAAACTTACAAAATCTGCAGGGGATCAAATAATTATTTTCCCACTGTAGAACAAATTGCACATTCACTGAAATATGGTAGTAGGAGAATCACAAGGGACAAGTGATAAGGAACTAAGGAAAGGGGAAGAAGGGGCGGGGAACGAGTGAGCGCCTCGAAGAGACCAGACATGTTAGGTGGGCAGAGTTTCCTTTTTTTCCCCCCATGCAGGTTTGTGCCCATCGTGATTGACACTGGCCATGTTATTTTCTTCCAATAAAAAAAGGACTGTGTTTTTATTTAATTTTGACATGTTTTGGGTGAATGCATAGGGGTACTATGTACCCCATACTCAGTCACATAGGGAGGAGGAAGGTGGGATCTGGAGGAGACTTCCAGATTTGGATAAGTCACCTCCCGCACCCCCACTGGGCCAGGGTTGTGGGGAAGAGGCCCTTGTTCTCATCAACATGGGGACAAGATGCCCCCACAACACCCCAAGTAGAGGGAATATGGCCTGGTATAGTACAAGGGGGGGAAAAAATTGTTCATCACCCCCTTTCCTGGCCTGCCAGACTGCATTCTTGGAGAAAGGTCTGGTATGGATTTTGGGGGGACAGACCGCATGCCATGTTTTAAAATTTTGACGTGGGGTTCCTCTCAAAATCCATACCAGACCAGAAGGGCCTAGTTTGGATGAGGGGGACCCACATACTGTTTTTTTTTTTTTTTTTTTTAATGCCGGCACTTGTTTTGTTTACATTCTGCTGTCAGCGGGTAATCCCAATGACAGCAGATGAGTCAGAGTTGTTGATTTTATTTCCCTGCGTCTGAAAATATTGAATCCCGAATAGTTTCAATATAGTTTTCAAATCCACCCGGACCAATGAATATATAAAATAAATGCTGAAGATACAAAGCAAATTTCTAAAACAAATCTGTTCAACATAACGAGTATGACAAAACAAAAAATACTTCAACTAACGAATGCTTCCCAAATGAAACAAAAATTTCTGGCATGTACATGTCTAGAAGGAACTTCAGGGTTAAAAGATCCCTGAGGAGGGAATAAAAAGGATCTGAACACTCAGTGAGAGTTGAGAATAGATGCATCTTTAGCAAGGACTGCAAGAGACAATGTCAATGACTCCTGTCAGTGAAGGTGACCAGAAGTGGTTCCACGATAGGGAAACAAGGAAACCTAGAGAGGATGTCATTGGTATGGAGTAAAGAGCTACCAGAGTTTGTGTTACAAAGGACAAAATGGAAAAAACTAGTATGTACTAGATACACACAAAAATTCCCACAGGCAGAAAACTGGCTTAAAAGAAGATCTAGCAGGATAATAAGTATATATGAAGCTTAAAAGTGTTACTAAAATCAAAATTGTTTAAATTAAAATGACAAAGATGTTATATTCACCTGCTCTTCCCGGGTCCGCCGTCGGAGATCTTGACTCCTCCTCTTCTTCGTGTGTCCCCATAGCAAGCCACTTGCTATGGAGGCACACAGTGTCTACGTGCTCCCAAACGGTTTGTCTATGGAGCCTTGCTTCGTAGATTTACACAGCGGGACATAGCCCATCCCCCACTTCCACCTCACTGCATCTGATTGAGAGTAGCAGAGCCAATGGCTGTGTGAAGAGAAAGAGGGGAGAAGAGATGCAGTCATGAACAACGCTGGATCTATCCTCCCCGCTCTTCCTCAAAAGGGAAAGGGGGGGGGGGGTGCTGAGAGATAGAAAACATTTTTTACCTTAATGCAAGGAATACATTAAGGTAAAAAACATTTTAGTTTTAGTATCACTTAAAAACTCCATTGCAGAAAAGAGCGAGAGGTTGAGATACAAACTTAGAGATAGATTTCTTCCAGGATAGGAATCAGAGATCCCAAGTTGATGGAACTCAGACAATAATACAGTGCTGACAGCGAATGCATCTATTAGTAAAGGAAATAGTTAATTAAGACCCACTTGGCCCAAATGAACTGTTTAAAGTCACTGCAAACATGGAGTTAGGCTTTAACCCCTCCACTGTACCATGTGTGTGACTTGCTCTTCCATCTCCACCCAGCCTACATGATTGGCCACCAAGGGATGGACAGCTGAGCCAGAGGAGCACGTGGACGCCAGGTTTGAGAGAGGGGCTCATAGCATTGCTGGCTACTTCTTGCTCAGGTAGGACAGACTATGCAATATTGATTGCATGAGGAGGTTAGCTGCAGCATCAGTGTGGGCAAAGGCCTTTGGTCACCCTTATTTGTTTATTACTGGTTTATTGTCACAGGGATCTGCTGTAAAGTTTTGGCTAAATAGGATGCTAGACTGTATATGACATACACTTGACCCCTGCACCAGTGCAACAGATGCGGATTGCTCAGTGGTCACTGATAATGAAGTTCTTCTTTTCCATAGGCCGTACTATGGGCAGAAAAGCATATGTAAATGGAAGAGGATCATATTTTACAAATCAATGTTATGAGGTTTGCATGTGTCTGTTAGACTGTCTCGCTTATAGCAGAGTAATTAAAGCAAATGTTTTGGGTACAATGATTATGGCATTTTTTTACAGCGTACACAGTAAGGAGGTTCAAGTTTCAAGCCCTTCCCTCTGTCAGCACAATTTTGCTGCCCAATTATTATTTTCAGGGTGCCCAAGGATGAACCCCTCCCCCAGGGAAAAAAAAGGGAAGAAGATCTACATCCCTGGCAAGGTCTAGCATGCCCTCAAACCCAAGTAGCTGGTGCAGATGAGAATTGCATGGGACTTCAGGTGACCAAGTCACTGTAGGCAAACAGCGGAGCAAGACTAGAGACCAGAAGATCCACAAGGGTTTGGAAAAAGCAGAAACTACAACAAAAAAAAAAGCACAAAGAAATAAGTAAGCGCTTGAAGTCAACATAGCTGCTGAGACACCAAAAAGGTACCAAAAACACCTCCAAAGTATCAACATAAAATCGGGTGCAGCGCTAAAATGAACATAAACACATGTGTAAAATATGTATATAAATAAAATTACAATAAAAGCATCTGTTAAGGTGACCAGTGACAAGGTGCTATCAGATCAATTTAAATAAAGTGACTTAGTGATGACATAAAAACTTTGTCACTATATGCATAACCACATATGTAATTGAAAAATAAGAAAATCTGTTAAAGTGACCAGTGACAAGGTGCTAGCAAATCAAATAAATAAAGTGACTCAGTGGTAACGTGAAACTCTGTCACTATGTGGTGACCAGCAGTGCATACAACATAGGGCTGGAAATGATAATCAGCAAATGTCCAAAATAGGTGCACGGAAGATCATGAAGATTTTCAATAACTGGTGGTCTATCCAATGAGGTGGTGATGTGGCCAAAAGTATAAAGACTGCGCACTCACCAGATGCGCAATCAATGTGCGCATTTAGAGATAACACTCTCAGTGGTAAACTGGAGGTTCCCTTAAGGTGAATGTGGTCTGGTCTGATGTCTCTCACTGCTCAACTCCGCTGTCAGCAATGGCTCTGCCTCTCCTCTCATGTAGCTCAGATGACAGAATCCAAGATGGCCGCCGGGACCCACATGGTGCCGGCGGTGTGAAGTCACGACGCTGTAGCTCCTCCCTTTTTTTTAAGATTTTCACAACTTAGCGGAGAAAAATAATGCCCAATCTCCTAAAACAATAGCAAAAAACGGAGGTGTGACTGTTGGAAACAAAATTATACGGGGACTGGCTTTAAAGTTTGTTTGCCAGTGTTTAAACCTCCTGTAGGCAGAAGTATAACCCAAATGTCCAAGAATTACTTCTGTTATGTGTCCCTCAAGAAAATAAACATGTGGAAAAAAAAAAAAATTTCCAGATGCTGTAAAAATCAGTATTTTATCATTGTCGGTGGTTTTGTCCTCCAGTGAGGACCTACGGAAATGGAGATTTCAGTTTTATTTACCAGCTGCTCAACTGTACTTATCCGTGAGGTCAAATAATTTCAGTTGTACGAATATAATTTGAATAAATCTACTGAAAATGGGTTTCATAAAGAAACATGCAAAAACAAAGACCTATTTAAATCTGATCACTAGAAAAAGTAAAAAAGTCCTCCCTCATAGCAGGGCTTTGACCACACCGCAAGGGTTAAATTGTCATTTATGCCTGGGGGGGTGGAAGAAAGCAGTTTTTCTTACCCGATCCTCTTATTCCACAAGCTCCTTCATACTCCCAGACTGGACACTGCAGCCACTTCTTCCCTGCGCTAATGTCCTCTTACATCATCAAGACTGATGCGGGGACTGGTTAGCACTTCTGCCTAGCAGCACTAGGGTCGTTCGTTCAAATCCCAACCAAAAGCACTACCTGCCTGGATTTTGCATGTTCTCCCTGTTCCTGTGTAGATTTCCTCTGGGTTCTTTGGTGTTAAGTTAATTTGCCCTAGTATGTGGATTAAAAAGTGAAAAAACACAGAGAGACAGCCCACTGATGTATGGGAGAGTGCCATTTTCCAGGGAAGCAGAGGATCAGCAAAGTAAACATGACTTTTACCTTAGACTAAACTAGTATTTAACCTTTGCAGTATGAGTGCAGTCGCACTACAAGGGAGGAGTTTTACTTTTCCCAGAGTTGGGCTTTAATACAGAGGTTTTAATTACAGGCAATATATATCAAAAAAGATGACCTTTCTCCACCTCAAGCTGCCAGATTCTTACAGAAAGCAGATTTAAACCCCAAGTTCAATGACGTAGCTTGGCTCTCACCCGAACATTGCGAGATGGTTCTCCCATCAAATGGACAATGAATATGACTTCACGGGTAACAGTGGGAAGGTCAGAGCTCAGAGTACTGAGGGCAGCAAGGTCAGGACAGAAGTTCAGCATCAAAACTGGATTAAAGTTAAGATCTTTGTGAAACCTCCTCCGTACAAAGTTAACCTATTGGAAAGAAGACAGCATAGCCATTTGTTTTAATGTGCATTATTATAAATAATAGCTATGACCAGTTAGCCAGCTTTCCTTTATTCATACCAATTGTTTAGTACTATTAATCAACTGCACCCACCTGTCTTTCAGGATCACTAGATTTCTTCATGCCTTTGATGAAATCTTTCCTTTCTTTTATGTGTGCCTCATACTGTGAAAAACTCTTGGTGCCACTCTCCAAACAAAGGTGGGGTAGATGGGGTTCTGCAAATTGAAATGTATTTAATTTAATTCAGCATTTCATTATTTTAAAGTTTTAAAGCCATTTCATAGTGTATGTATGCAAATTAAAGTGTACTATGCTCACAATTATTCAGGAGATCTCAAATAATTACAGTACTCATTTTGACAGTGCCTTAAAGTGATTCTACGGGATTTAAAAAAATAAACAAACATGTTCTACTTACCTGCTCTGAGCAAAGGTTTTTCACAGAATAGCCCCCCACTGGCGCTCCTGGCTCCTTCCCCCTGCTGAGTGCCCCCATAGCAAGTCATTTTCTATGGGGGCACTCGTGCAGGCTCTCTCCTTAGCTGCACCGTTTGTCCATTAACACAGAGCATGGCTCGGCCCCCCCACTTGCTGTGATGACAGCAGTAGAAGCCAATGGGTTCAGCTAGTGAAGGGAGAGAGCCAATGGGTAAAAATATTAATACCTCCTGCGCTTCAATGCTACACTAAGCTGCCAACACCCTCTCCAAAAAGTACGTATATAGACAAGGTGTGGCGCTAAGGCAGAGCACTAAACAGCCACTGATCAACATTGGGGCTCAGGTAAGTAGAAGGCAATGTAAAATAAGATTTCTGTATTTACTGTGAAAGTGCCTTTTTCTTGAAGTTCAGGAATTACAGTTATAGGTGTCCCTCAATGGTTTATAATCGGCCACCTACAGGAGGCCGGGACAAAAAAAAAAAAAAGTAGTAAGATAGCCCCCATATAACCCCACCTCTCTCATGCTTTAGTTTTGTGTAGGAGCAGAACAAGAGCCAATAATACAGAGCCTGTAACCTTTGTGTCACTTAATAGGCTTCATGAAAAAGATTTTTGGCGAGTAAGTATACGAGGGAATCAAAAAAGCATAAATAAGATTTAGAAGAAGGGCCAAAATAAAAATAGGGAATTGCCATTCCCAAAAAAGGGGGGCAAAAAAGCATAAATAAGAGAGAGAGAGAGAGAGAGAGAGAGATTGATTAATCAGTTACCACTAGCTGAAGGCATATACGCGACAGTAGAGTTGGTGGGCAAGCCTTAATGCCCAGCTGCTGTACATATGCGTCTGTAGGAAACTGATCTCCTGTGCTGAGGTCGCACTCACTGCGTACTCCCAGCACAGGGATCGAGCTGTCACAGATAGCTCCCAGGCATAGTCTACAGTCAGAAGCTCCCAGTCATGTGACTGTCAATCACAGTAGTAACACGACGAGGAAGACTAGTTTTCTGTGCCACTGCATGCCTTACAATTCAGAATGGAAAAACCTAGCTTAAGTAATACTTAATTTCAAGGAAAGGAAGTTTGGACAGACATAGCATGTGCAGAGAAAAGACCAACCAGGTCCACAACATCTGTAAGATCTTGCACGCCTTTTGTTTTGGATTTACCTACAATGCATTTAGCCAATTTAAACAAAGTTAATTTGGGCTTTAATGCAGATATCACTCACATTTGAGTGTGTGGGTGCTAAATAATTAGTAATCTTACCACCACAGGCATGTGTCTGCCAAAAATTTTTTCCAGAGTTAGGTAAATTGTGCTTGTCAATAATCAAATCACAATTTTTCCTGTTAGTTACCACTAAGGTGCAGGATAACTTCTAAAGCACGATCACATTTATACTCTTCTGCCAAGCTAATCCAGATGGAAGAAGCCGAGAGAGCAAAAGGGCTTGCGTCAGCACGAAGAGCATGGGATGGACTCTCTATACCTGTACAAAGGAGAGAAGTCACATTACAATTTTCTCCAAAATGGAGGGCCATATATACAGTATGTGATCACTAACCAAGTTAAAACTAGAAATTTACACAGATTCAGTTATCAATACCAATTTACAAATAAAAAATAGTCACCTGCCAGAAGACAAGGACCCTGAACTTGTAATTGGAAGGTAAAGTGATAGCTCTGCGGGTTAGTAGCCAGGCCGGTGAGAGCAGCAGACAAAGATCGGGGATGTGTGGAGTGCAGTAACTGGGAAGGGGAATCTGGAAGCAGCAGCCAGGAATTTACCGCTGCTCCACTCACACCACCAAAACAACTGGCCGGACTGTAAGACAAAGAACGTCATTATAGTCACATAAATTAAATTCGGTCACAATACACACCTAACTTATAACACAAGGAGAGTGCCCTGGAGGATGTGTGCATCGGTAAATGAAAACCAACACTTTTGGACAATAATCCAGTTTCTAAAGTATTGAGAGTTTTCCCAAATGGTCTTTAGCTTTAATGTCAACAGAACAGATTAAAATATGAGCGGTACAATGAAGATTGTTACACAGCAGCTAAATATTTTAAAACCGACTATTTAAAAAGGTGGAAAAATATAACTGATGTGCTGTACAAAATTAGAAAAAAAAAAAAAAGTTTTATAACATGCTAAAGCACTAAAACATTAAACTACTTCCACTTGTGAACCAAAGACAACATTTTCTACATGATAATAAGCTCTTTATATTTCTGTTGCAGCACTGAATGCTGGAAAATATTGAAAAAATACCTCATCTCAAAAAGGCAAATCAGGCTCTTTAGTGCTTGGTTTTCATTTCTGAGCACTACAGCCAAAGGTTAGGACTATACGGTGAAGGTAGTGGTAGAAGAACAGATTACTACAGAAGTTAGGAGACTCAAATTACAGGGAGGGATAGGACAGATTTTGTATTAAAGAGGACACCAGAAAGCCCAGTACACAGAACACACAATCACCATAAGCACAACCTGTCGTCACAAAGACCATCCCCATGCTCGCTAGGATCCCCTGGACTCAGGGCCAAGGGTGTAAGGGTGGAGTTGAGGGTCACACGCACAGTTCCTCCTGGAAGAGTCTGCAGTTCTCTGCAACTTTGCAGAGTCACACTCACTACTGAAGAGGGATGTACAGCTCCCACACTGAGTACAAACACATTGTGTGCCGTGTCTGCGTCCAACACAAGGTGACCTAAAAATATGAAACAGGGAGACAATCAGAAGTGCAGAGATTGAGATTTCTTCAAATGGAGGATGAGCATTCTAAAACAGACCTGATGATTTAAAAAGTGAAAAATTTATGTTATAGGAAATAATTAGAAATGTTAAATTGTGCCTAAGCACTACCATGAACAATGTACTTTGTCCTAGCGGTATATCTGCAGTGCAAAATCTAAGGCACTGCCACCTCAGATTGCTACTCTACTCTCAGAGATTTGCAATTAGTATGTTGATGTCACTACTGTGCTGCTCACTGTTCTCCTTGCTGGAGGCTCCAACATGATGAAGCAAAACCCTGACTCTTCCAAGATGGCCACAGTGCAGAGCAAGTTATCGTAAGTCAGTAATGTACAAAGATCAGCTGCAGAGGGACCACAAGCAACACTAAGGACTAGTCCTTAGCCCCCTGCTTTTTGTTTGGGGGGGGGGGGGCACAGCCTCCAGAAAATTTAATTCCTCTTACAAGGCTATGTTCACCTTTTGAAGCATATTGCATGCATATTTAGATTTTAAATGTGGAACATGCTCCAGCACCTCCAGCCACAGATCAACCCCCAAAACAGCGAACAGGGGATCCTCTCCCCACACCCGCTGTCACATTTTAAACACAGCGCAGCTGTGCAGGGCTCCACCCGCACAGCTGCATCAACAATCTGTGAATGAACTACAAGTCCTGTCTTCCACTGCTGCAGTCAGCTTGTAGTTCTAAATAGACTGCAAGGGCGCTGTTAAGTGCTCAGTTCATTGACACATCCTACAGCTTTAAACAGAAAACCTGTAGGCAGTGTATGCAGGAACCTGATACTGCACCTGTGATCTGCTGATTGCAGATGCAATGCTCTGCAGGCTCTGGAGAAAAACAAAAACAAAATGCACACTTACATTTAAAAACAACATTTTTTTTTAATTGAACTTCGCCTTAAACAAAAAAAAAACAAAAAAAAAAAAAACAAAAAAAAAAAAACACACAACTAAAAACTGAGCCCAGCTATGAAGTGTTGACTATAAGGACAGCAGTGTTTCCAAACACTTACAGTTCTGGTGTGTTTGCATACTATTTCCTTTGAAAAGTATAGCTCATGACACAAATATACTCACTTAGCAATAACATTATAGCTGAATATTCAACATGGCCAACATTGGAGCTGGTTTATGAAAAGTGGAGAAAGTAAATTAGCTCAAAATGTGATCTTCTGCCTACAGCAACCACTCGTGATTCACTTTATAATTTAGAAAAAAAAAAAAAAAACCTACAAAAACACACACACACATTTTGGCTGGTCAATATTGGCTAACTCAATTTTATTTTTATTCCAGTTTTCATTTGCAGCTCTGCACTTTAAGAGTTTTGTTTTAAATTACACCTAGAGCATACGGGCAGTCCTGTGCTATTGTTTTCCATGGCACGATGTTACCCTTACATTGTTACCTGCATTCTTCATAAAAAGTGCATCTTTAATATGAATAAATGGTAGCACACACGCAGAGAAGGTCCTGCCCACTGGAAAATACATGTTAAGCTGCATTACAAAAAAAAAAAAAAAAAAAAAAAAAAAAAAAACACACACCTTAAAGTGTATGTATATCTCAATAATGAACTTTTATATGCCCCATTTGGTCTGTTAAATATACCAGCAAAAGCAGTTTTACCAGATCAATACAGGCAAAAAAAAAAAAAAAAACACCACACCACACCACATACACCTTTTGATTCTGCCAGAAATCTTGATAACTTTCTTTCTGCCAACTTGTCATTAACATTCTTTTCAGCCATTTCTGGACTACAGAACACCTCTCCTACTTTTTATGGAATGGAGGGAGGGGGATGTTCTATAATCCTAATACACTAAACAGACTCATGGTAACAATGCTGCTCCTCCACAGATACAGTACAGTAAGTGAGCACTTGGTGTCACCCTCGGACAGAAAAGT